AGGGAGGGAGGGAGGGAGGGAGGGAGGGAGGGAGGGAGGTCGAGTGGGCAGGCGGGCAAGAGAGGGCAGAAGGAAAGAAGGAAAGAAGGGAGGAAGGGCAGAAGGGAAGGAACTTTAAATGTATAACAAAGTTTCTTTACTGACAACAAAGTTTATTGACTGTGGCTATTATTTTCATCCTTCTGTATACAGATAAATATATAAAACATTAATGAAAGGATTTAAGGTTTGAAAATATTAAGATATTTATTCAGTAATAAGAATTGTATATTGCTTAATAGATTTCTGTGTGTTTTCTGTTATGTTATTTTTATCTAAAACTAGCTAATGTTTATTTTTATGTAAAACCAGCTCCCTATTTTCCATGCTTGAAGTGTTAAATGTGAACTCTTGCTCAGAGGAGACACCAACTAGAATGCTCTGAGCCACACAGAATCCCAGAAATGTCTCCATGAAGGTGACTGAATTGCATCAAATCCCACCACTAGTATGAAGCAGCAACCCTGTACAGGGTGGGCTGGGGGGTGGGCAAGGTCTCAGAGCAGACACTCAATGGACAATCAATTCACCAAAAATTTCTTCTGAAGGTTCCCCCAACTTAGTTATCAACAGGTTTTCATTTATTCTCTAAAAAAATCAGAATTAGAGTTGAGAAAATATTAAATGAAGCAATATAGAAAATCCAGGACAGTGATTGGCATTTAGGAAAAAGACATTTGTCTTTTAACACTAAAGTTCCTAGTTACAATTTTCACAATAGGAGTGTCACAGCCACAGAGGGGCACATCAACCTGATACAAGAGAAACAGAGCAGGGAGAGGTGACTGTCTCAAGGGAGTGATAGTCTTCCCGGGGAGAAATTCTCAAACCCAGGTTTCTTGTTTTGTTTTTGTTTTTCCTTGGCAATGAGATTATCTTGGAGGTAAAATTATGTAAATTTGGACAACTGAGTAAAGGCAAACTACACAGAGACACAGTGGAAAAAAGGAATGGGAGAGGTGGAAAAATAAAAAGTAAACACATGCTAATGATTCAGTGTTCATTTTGTCAGGTTAAATCACAGAATTTGGAAAGGAAAAGGGCATCCAACAGCCTTATTTTAAAGATGAGGAAACTGAGGCTCCAGAGTTGAGGAAATGTGTCTTCACTCCCACGAGTAATCTCTGGAAGTTCCAAGCCACCATGAGAGCTTTCCGGATGCCAAGGGAATTTCCTACCATGTTGATACCACACTGTGCCAGTGTTCAAGACTATCACAGCTATAACCTTGCTGGCTTGTGTATCTCAGCTGCCCATGGTGTTCTCTAAAAACTCCAGCTTTCTATAACCTCTACGCTTTTAAGTTCAAGGAATGGGGAGGACGAAGTCAATGAACTGATTTGATTCACCACCTCAGGCCTGCACAGCAGCTGAATCAACCTATTAAGAAAACTTTGGCTCTCTTCAACATTCTGCTTTTTAAGAACACCATTGCAAATACATGATTTCCAAAATACTAACAATGTACTTAATCACATTATAGATCATCATATAAAAAGAAATATCTGAATACATTCAAAATTCATTTTTTTCTTAAATTCCAAATTGCATAGAGCTGCCTCCTCTGCAGTTTTCCATCACCGCCTCCCCTCCCAAAATTCTCCTTTTGTTCCTTCATTTCTTTATACAGACTCTTCATTTGTTTAAATATTCATACTCAACCAGAATGTATTTCCTTATGTGGGAATCATTGCTTATTCATCACAGACACAGCCCTTGACATCCTGAAAACAGGTAGTCATGATTTTTGGAATAAAGGTTTGATACTTTCACATTTACATGTAAACGGAGCTAAAAAATTCTAGTTTGAGACTAAGAATAGTGTAAAAACTGGGAACCAAAATGGATGTTAGAGATAACCCAGCATAACCAGTTGCTCTTACAAGTTGAGGAAACTGAGGTCAAGAGTAAGTGCGTGGCTCAGGGTCACTCAGTTCATTAGAGCCTGAATGAGGATGTCCACTTTGGTTCACTACCTCTCTTCACTGCCCTTGTTAGTGCACTCCATGAAAAAAAATCACTAAGTACAAATCAAATCATTTAGATACTTAAATGACTCCTGAGAAAGTAGAAGGTATAAATGCCTTGACCACACACAAGAACTCTGACATATTTCACTCTCTGTATTCAAATTTCTATCAATGCCCAATACATCATAGGTATTCCGTCAGTTTGGGTTTCTATATTCCTTTTTCCTCTCTCTTCTTCAAATTTGCATGTGTACCACTTTACAGAGTGCTAATACATAAAGTAGGCACCATCTCATGAATCAAAGTGGGATTCCTAGAGCCACTGAGGATGTTTGTAGAAGCCAGTGGTGCTGATCCCATGGCTACTCTTCTGTGGACAATGGAAATGCTCCCCAAAGGACATTCTTAGGGGAAATGGGGCTGCCACCAGGAGGAGGTACCCACAGAGATCAGAGATGGTCTCTGTACTGTGAGAAGGACCTACATTTCCAAATGCCAAGTCCCTTCTTCCTGACCCAAATGCAGCCCCTAGGAGATAGATACTTAGCTGAATCATTAAGATGGTGAATTATTTAGATAAGAATTTCTGTATATAGAGAGTCCCCAACCAATTATGTACCCCAGCAACGTGAGGGAAACCACTTCGAATACCTCTCAGATTCTACATTTAGATATTTCAAAGTCTATTCTGATCCTTAAAATTGACACTTCTGTCAAATACAAACAAAGCCCTTTCAGTATTGCTTGGGATTAGCTCACCACTTAATAAATTTCTTCCAACACTACCTTCTGCGAGTCAACAAACAGCTTCCTCCTGTGATTTGGGCCTGGCTAACAAGTTAGACTTCAGAAGAATAATGACTAGGCAGAGGCATTTTCTAGGTGGTACATTCCCACTTTGAGGAAACTTGGTCATTTTACTTTTGCAGTTAAGATGTCCTTCGGCTGAAAATAACATGTCAGTGTTTGAAATGTCCTTCTCTGTATCATTGACTTGATTTTTAGATTACATTTTAGGCTGGACTGACACCAAAAGTGCTTTTCAAAGACACTGGAAAAGGCCATGATTGAAAATTATTTAAATAATTTATAATATATGAAAGGTAGTAAATTCTGGGCAAACATTTTAACTAGGTTTTTATGGAGAACCGAAAGTGAGTAGCTTTCTGCTGAACACTGTGTAAGGCATTAAAAGATGCACTAGTGTAATTATTTTCCCTAAATTAATGCCTGTCTCTGACACATCTTAGACTTTTCCACCCTTGCCCTAAGTAACTTAATTAAAAAAAAATTTTTTTCTCCCAGCTAATTTGCTGACATATAGTCACCACTAATTTTGTCACGTGTTGTTCAAGTGATTGACTACATTCTGAAATCAGACAGCTTACAGTGTCAGGTAAAAATTCTTCCGAGGCAGATACATTTTTGGAGTTGCAACTAGTTAACTGTGGGCTTCTACTAGAGACAAAAAGTGACTTCATTTTACTGGAGAAAATGTCAATCAAGACGTAACTCCTGACACCCGTCTTTGTTTCTCCAGCCAGTAATAAAAGATAAAGCAGAGGAAATGGAGGAGCTGCAGTTATGTGTTTGCAACACACAAAGTCCTTGTTTTCCCACTAGGCGCTGCAGAAAAGCAATTGTCCATTCACAGCACATCCTCTGCATTTCAGAGCTAATATTTTTGCAGTTCTTAACTTGGTACATTACAGTCTTATGCAGTTAATTTTGTTAACCCTTTGAAATCGTGTTTGAAATCTTGCTTAATATGACTGCTAATGTGACCCAGTTTTAAAGGTTTCAGGTTCTCAGTGTTGAGAATAGAAACTTTAAGAAAATCAGTTAGAAATTCTGGAACAGGATAATGATTTCACATAATCCTGTCTTATTGGCTATTGCATAGCTTTGAGAAGGGTAATAGGGAAATCCATGGTAACCATATATTACTTAAATTGCTATTACAAAAACTCTTCAGATAGGAATGCTTTTTAGCAGGGACCTCCCTTAACACATAATATTGTGCCATTGAAAGGAACATTAGCCCTGTGTTGAATTGCCCAGCTTCCTGCAGTATTTAGCGTGTTTACTACATATGAATGCATATACCTGCCTTCTGGTGCAAAGAGGTTTACTCTTACTATTGCAATTGTCACTCTGGCTAGAGCACATGAAGAACAGAATTTCTAAACGATTAATTAGTCCCCAGGCTCCATCACTTAAGTCCCTAATTGAAGATCTGACTCCGCTTTCAACTATTGTAGGAAAAGACAATTAGCAAATTTGCAGTGGTAATAAAGAAGTTTTATTTTCCTTTATAAATCATAATATCAAAATTTCTGGTCATATAACTTAGTATCTGTGTCTCTCCTGGACTTGTGAATCCAAAACAATTTTTGAAAAATGCAACAAGGTGAAGAATTTTTCTTAAGAATTCATTTTTTGGACATCTTCTATTGATTGTTTTCTACCTTCAATCTCACAACCAGCTTCTTCCCCTCTTGCTACTAATTTCTTCATCTTGAAGTCTGCTATCAACCAATATGAAAAACTCGAGAAAAAAATTAATTTTCTTCTTCCCTCTTCTGCAAACCTTACCAATCCCTTTACCAGCATTTTCCTAGCCTCGCCCACCAAAAATAAAAATTACCCAACTCCAAGATCTATGTTGGAGAAAAAATAGTGCATTTTTCAAAAAGACCACCTTAGTGTTCGCTCAAAGTGCAGTGAAAATGCCAGAGTCTCATTACGCTGGTTGGAATGAAAGCCTGTTGCCCTTAAACAGTTAATTCAGGGTAAGTGATCGTGTTTAGTCAGTTCGCCTAGAAAAAGGAAGGAAATTCAAAAGCTGGTTGCTGTAGTAACAATCACAGACAAAAAATATATATATATATATATATGTACAGGTTCATTTTAAATAAAAATCCTACCATCTCTCTGTGACTCCGTTCTCTCAAGAAAACTGAGCTTGCCGCTTAAATTTTTTGTACATACCTCAACCATTAAACAAGACATTTAACCATAGTGGCAGTTCTGTGACCTTTGAGTGCCGTGAAATCTCTGAGCGGTGCTGCTTGTTCATGAAGACTTGTGCTGCAGAATCCAGCAACTTCATCCAGGATTAGAAATATAATTAAGTAAAAAAAAGAAAAAAAAGAAAAAAAAGAAACACAAAAAGCACACAAGGAGATCGAGAAAGAAGGAAGGTAGAAAGAGCGAGTACACCACTTTTCTCCCAGACAAGTGCTGGGACAGAGCCGAGCCTGCTGCAGTGCCCAGACCACTGACTGGCTGGGTGAGCCGCGGCCGGCCTGCTAGGCTGGGAGGTGCTGTCAGTTGCCACAGGCAAGGAAAAGCAGAGACCAATCGGCTTCAACTCCGGCAGCTTACTGGAGTGGAGCCTTTTCTGTTTATGTTTCCTCATTTCAAGAGTGACGTCAAAGGGTTTAGTTTTTCCTCTGCATGTGCTATTAATTTTAAAGTACTGTACTATGGGAAGAATGTGTGTGTGTCTGTGGTCAGCCTGGGCACCCCACTCTTGGGAGAACCCAAGAAACATTTTCTATATTCGGGAATACATTTAAAGAATTTAAAATACCTTGCGGTGAGGTGTATAAAAACAAAAGCAAAACAAAACAAAAATTAAAAATAAAACTCTTAACTAAACCGTAACAGCGAGATGTAGATTGTTTTCTATCTGTGAGGGTTATGTGCACATGCCCGCTTGGCAGCTGTTGCTTATCTTTCAACCTAATTCATTTTTACCCTTACCTAAAAATGAGTTGTTAATTCATCCTGATAGCCACAGAGGCAAAATTATGCAAATGCGCTCGTGAACAAAATGATGTGCAATAAAACAGAAATCCTGTATCGGTTTGTGCCACGGATCCCTGCGTTTCCTCCAGCTTCCGTGGTGGAGCCTCAGGCTTGTTCCTGCCAGGGAGATGCCTCCTGCCATGCCAGCAGGAGTCATTCAAAAAGCAGGACTATGGTGATGCCATGCAGGCGTGCTGGGGCCTCAGCATGTTGTTGTTTCCCAAAGAGTGTGAAGGTCCTGCTATTTAGGAATACTTCCCTTACCAGGGACCCCAGCTTAGCCCTGGGTTACTCTTCCCACTCTGGAAAAATCTCCATGGTTGCCATCTGTTGTTTCTGCCTCCCCCATATCCTCCTCCTTTTCCCCATCCCCACCTATCCTGAATTCTGCTAACAGACTTTTTTAGGGGGCGGGTGGGGGGGGGGGCGGGTTATGGTGTGGGGCGGAACTTTCCTTCCTCTCTCTATGGATTGCATGGACTTTCCCCCCAGCCCCATTCCCACGACAGAACCACAAGGAGCCGTGGGACTTGTGGGGGCTAACCAGATTTCTCCATTGCTCCGACGCAGAGACTGTTTTAGGGGTGGGCACCACACTAAAGGAAATCCACTTTCCTTTTTGAAATACTAACATCGCTTCTTTGAGAAAGAAGATATATATCCCTAAGAGCCTAGGCACTAGGGTTGAGTGACCCTGTAGTTGTTGGGGTTTGTCTTCGGTGTTGAAGCTGCAACAGTGAACAAAATAGATGGTTCCTTTCTCCCATGGAGTTTACATTTTGGAGAAATAGGGAAATTGGCAAAGAAAAATAAGTAATGTCAGGTGGTAATAAGGGCTTCAAAATAAGATAAGGTAAGGAGAAAGAGGTGTGTGTGTGTGTGTGCATGTGTGTGTGCGGGTATGGTATGTGTCTGCTATTTTAGGCAAGAGGATCAGGGCAGCCCTCTGATAAAGCAACTTCGAGCAGAGGCCTGGATGATAGGACGTAGCAGGTATTGTGTGTCTGTACATTCCAGACACATTCTTACGTGGCAGAGGAAGCCACGTAAAGGCCCCACAACAGGTGGGTGTTTGGCAGATCCAAGGAACAGAAAGCGAAACAGAGTGGCTGGAAGAGAATGAGCAAAGCAAAGAAATAAGTTGAAGAAAGTATGTCTGGGACAAGGTCAGGACATGTCTTACAGGCCATGCATAGGACATACATTTTATTCCAAGGTGAAAACCTCCCTATCAGAGTGTTTTGAGCTGAGGAATGGCTAGGATTCAACATGAATTCTAAAGAGACTTCTCTCTTTTCTCTGTGGTAGACTCCTAGAGAGCAAGAGTAGAAGCAGGGAGACTGATAATGAGGCCAACATGCTAACCTAGGTGAAAGCGCATCATGGCTTGAACTTGGGTGACAGCAGTGGAGAAGGTGGGAGGGCCGGATGCTGAAAGGGGTCTGAGTATTTGCAGAGAGCATTGGCAGTATTAGAAGATGAGAAGTGTGAGAAAGAGAGAGGAATCAAGAGTAATTTCCAGGTTGCTGGCTTGGGCAAACTAGACGAGAGTTGCCATTTCCTGATGTGGGGAAGCCTGGGAGAAGAGCCTGGTTTCGAGATGAAATAAAGAACAGTTTTGGCCCTTCACTGAACAGCAACAGATATTTCATTGTGCGCTCTGTACCAGGCACTGTTCTAGGTACTGGGGAGAAAGCAGTGAAAACATGCCCTACACATATACACCCTCCCACATGTCTTTCTTTGACCCCATAAAACTTAGATTCTTCCAAAAGGAGGAAGGCCATAAACAAATTAAAAAATTTATATAGGATATTGGGTGGTAATCACATCATGAAGGAAAAAATTGGAGAGGTAAGGGTCACTAATCAGATAGAGGCCTGCAATTTTAAAGCAAGTTTGCAGAGAAGGTGCCACTGCAAAGGTGATGTTAGACACAAATGGAGAGATGATGACAGAGGCATAGGGAGAGCATTTTAAGCAAGGAGCCATCGAGTGCAAGGCTCTGGGGACTGGAGTATTCGGATGGTAAAAGTAGGAGATGGCAATGGGTGCAGAGGAGACAGATCATGGAGAGTTTTCTAGGTCACAGTAAGGACTTTGGCTTCCACTCTGCATGAAACAGGGCTCTAAGGAGAGGAATGAGGCAATCTGACTTATGTTTTGACGGGATCGCTCTGGCAGCCATGTGGAGGTCAAGGGAGAAGAGAGTCTAATAAAGGGTATATTGCAATAAAACAAGCCAGACATTCTAGTGGTGTCTACCATGATGCTATGGTGGAGGCTAGAAGTGGTTTACTTCTGATTATGTGTTGGTGTTCAGGACAATAAGACTTGTTAAACAGATTGGGTCCCAAGTATAAAGGAGGGAGATTCGTGAGAGGAGCCAATGTCATCTCCAAAATGTGGGGTTCCATCAAGTAGAAGAACAGAGCTAGCACTGACCAAGAGATAGGAAGAACAGGCTTTGTGGGGAAGATGAAAAGTTTGATATTAAATATGTTAACCTTGCCTATAAGATATCTACATGGAGATGTTGACTAGGCAGCTGAATGTATTAAGCATGGAGTTTAGGGGATAGTTCTGGGCTGTAGATATAAATTTGGAAGTGATTGTATACGTGTGATACTTAACGCCATGAAACTAGATGTGATTACCAAGGGAATGAGTGCAGATGGAAGAGCTTCAGGCGGTCTACAATTATGTTATCAAGAATATAAAGAAGGACTAGCAAGGGAGACTGAGAAGGAGACTCCAGATAGTGTAAGAAAAACTAAGAGAGGATTGTGTCTTAGAAGGCAAATTAAATATTTCAGTGATCAGCTGTGTAAAATGACACTTAGATGAAGACTGAAAATTGACCCTTACTTAAACTTAGAATGTGTAATCATTTGTGCCTTTAACAAAAGCAGATTGAGTGTAGTAGAAAGGTTGAGAGGTTAAGAAAAATGAAAGAAAAATTGGGAACATGGAGTATAGGCAATTCTTTCAAGGTGTTTTGCCCCAAAGAGAGCAGAGAAATGGAGCAGTAATTGGAAAGGATATCAGCATGTTGTACACTGATGGAAAAAAAATGCAGTTGAGAGGAATAATTAGTGATGTGGAAGAATGGTGGGCGGGGGGGGGGGATTATTGCTGGGGCACAAATCAAATTTGTGATAGATATGCCCTCCAGATATGTCCACACTCTAATTCCTGGAACCAAGGGACATGTTAAATTGCATGGCAAAAGGGATGTTGCAGATTTAATTGAGGTTCTGGATCTTAAAGTAGGAAGATTTTATCCTGAATCAGTTGAGTGTGCCCAGTCTAATCACATGAGCCCTTAAAAGCAGAGAGATTTTTCTGGCTGGAAGCAAAAGAGAGATGCAGCCACAGAAGTCAGAGATTCCAAGTTTGAAAAAGATTCACACAATGCTGCTGTCTCTGAGTTGTAAGCCCATGTGCAAGGACCTGAAAGAGGTCTCTATTAGCAAAGAGTGGACCCCAACTAACAGTTAGCAAGAAAATAGGGACCTCAGTCCTACAACTTTAAGGAACCGGATTTGCGAACAACTTGAATAAACTTGCAAACAGAGTCTTGCCTGGAGCCTCCAGAAAATACAGTCCTGCTGACACCTTGTTTTCTTGCCTTGTGAGACTTTAAGCAAAGTACCTAGCCAAACCCACCTAGAGAAACAGGGACAAATACATATCGTGTTAGTTTGTTTCAGCAGTGATATAAATCTAGCAGAGCTATTGGCTTTGGAAAACAGAGTATTCTCTGCATACTCACTTTAAAATTGCAAGCCTCTATCTGACTAGTGACCCGTCTCTCTCCTATTTTTTTCTTCATAAAACAGTTGCACCACCGTTGCATGTGAACATTCTCTGTGACTTCTAATTTCTCAGTGAAATAGGAACTGTCTAAGAGAGGGGATGGGAAAGTGATGGAGTTTGAGAAAAGAAGATATAAAATAGTCATCCAACAGAGTAAAGAACCCAAATTATCAGAGAAATATAGTATGACGGCTAAGAGCACTAGGGCCTATTTGAGTTTGGTTGTCATTAAGGTGATGCTAGACAGCATGTTACCTTTGCAATATCTGTGGGACATCCAAATATAAATCTTATGTAGGCAGCTTATATATCATTCTGGAACACCATGGACAGATGAAATAATATTGAAAACCATGGTAGGGCATGAGATCACTTAGGGAATGAGAATAGACTCAAGGCTAAACACTGTTTAGATAATGGGAAACTGAGGAGGATCCAGCAAAGGAGATCAAGAAGGAGCGGCTATGAATGTACAGCCAAGATAGTGGTCTCTCTCAGAAATAGGTTCACACAGTTGGTGCTATGGATTGAATTATGCCTCCTCCCTGTCATATGTTGAAGTCCTTACCTCCAATATAGTTGGATATAGGGCTTATAAGGAGGCAACTGAGTTAAATAAGATCACAAGGGTGAGTTTCTAATCTGATGGGGCTGATGCCCTTATAAGAAGAGAAAGAGACACAAGC